CTTGGCCAGACACAGGCTGAAGAAAGAGCCTGCACTTGTGCCCGTGTGAGGCCTTGCCCGGTCACGTATCCCGCGGTGGCTCATCAGCGAGTATTTGAGCAATGCTGGCAACACCATGTGGGCCCGCAGCGGCGGCTGATGTGCACAGACATGGGTCGAAACGCAGCCAGGAGGCTTCCCTGGGTGAAAAGATGGTCCGTTGACTGTTCACGTAACCAGTTGATGGATCACCAGCAAGAATTGACCTGGCTCCTAAAGTGGCGCACTTCGAGCGTGGTTCTGAGAGGACTATGAAGAAAGAGGCCCGCCCTGCCTTCTGGAGGACACCTGCCAAGCAATAGATGTCTGAACGTAGCTTATTCAGGGATGTGACAAATATCCATTCAACACCAACCGTCTGCCTGTGTAGGCATTCGGGGTACAGCAGAGACAAAAACAGAGGTGGTCCCATTGATTCTAAGTGTGCATAAACCCATTTCTTTTTCTTTTTCTTTTTTAACTTGCCAAAGGGTATGTGCACTCACCCGAGAGAGAGAGAGAGAGAGAGAGAGAGAGAGAGAGAGAGAAGAGAGAAAGTGAGAAAGACCACTCATGGGGGATGGTCATCCCGTAATCCCTTCTCCATTTCTCCTCTGGGGACTTTGGCCGTGCACACACACCTGGAGTCTCTCAAGCTGCCGGCTCGAGACTCCAACCATGTAGTCAGTCGTGGAGTGGGGATCCAGCCCCCTCAACCACCACACTGCTAGTTGGCCCCAAATCCATTTTGACTGATGGAATTAGTTTTTTTTTAAACTTATTTTATTTTCATTGTCAGAGGTTGTGCATACTCTCCAGAAAGAAAGAGACAGAGAGAGAGAGGGAGAGGGAGCAAGCATCCCCCAATGGTCCTCTGTTTCTCCATCCTTTCAGGGTCTGGGGCGTGCACACATGCATACATGCCTTTGTGGTTGGGATTCTGTGTAGTCAGCCATGTGGAACCAGGTAAGCTATGGGTTTTTAAATGCCCCAAGGGAGGCTGTCATTTACAGAAATCTGTGAGTATTTGTGTAAAAAGAAGAAAAAGAAATAGACCCTCAGCCTGCCGGTGTGGGTCACTATGGGGTCTGATGGCAGCAGCAGTGCTGGGCAGTGGCCAGTTGGTGACCAAAACTGGGTGTTAAGGAGGTTGTGGGGGTGAGCCGAAGTCCCATGGGATCTCGCTTTCAAAATCACATACTCCAAAGTCAGATTAGTGAGAATTTTAATAAACAATTGAACGTCAAGTGCTAGGACCTTTTGGGGCCCTGTGTGACCACTCTGGTCCACACACATAAAGCCAGCTCTGTACAGAGCTATTAGCGTGCATGTTCAGGGACAATACCCTTCTTCCTACCTCCTAATGGGGCACGAGAGGAGGTATGTTGAAAGTGCACAGTTCAGTAGGGTAAGCATCCCTTATCCCCAAGTGTTCACAATCAGAAGCACTTAAGATTTCAGATATTTTTCTGCATCTGAGATATTTGCATATATATCATGAGACATCTGAGGGACAGGACCCAAGTCTAAACACAAAATTCATTTATATTTCAAATACATCTTATAGTGCAAAGGTAATTGTACATAACATGTTTAATACTTTTGTGCATGAACCCCTCTGTGGGGGAATCTGGGCCTGCTTATTGCAAACAATGAGGGGCTCAGAGAATCTTTTTGTCCCTTGGGAATGCTGAATAAGCTGTGCTCCTGCATTTTGGCTGCAACTTATCATGTACAGTCAGGCATGGAAGTTACCACTTGTGATGTCTTGTCGATGCTCAGAAGGTTTGGATTTTGAAGCATTTTGGATGGGAGATCTTTGCATTGAGGATCCTCAACCTATGTGTTTATGTAGAGCTCGGCCCTACTTCAGTCCGGTCTTTCACATCCAGTACCGTGTTGGCATCCCATGAATCACATGTCTGTGTAAGGGGCTCTATGCCCAATAGTGGCTATTCCTTTCCCCTATTTTTTAAAAAGAATTATTTTATTTAACTTTATTTATTTATTTAAATTTGACCAGATAGGGACAGAGAGAGAGAGAGAGAGAGAGAAAGTGAGAAAGCAAGCCGCCAGGTCCAGGACTTGAACCATGGTCGGCCATGTGGGAGTCCAACGCCCTTAACCACCACACCACCTGCTGGCCCCTCCTTTCCCCTATTTTATGGAACCATGGTCTAAGGAGCCAAAACACATTCTTTTATAAAGGGATCACACAGCAGATAGACCGCAGGAAAGCTTTAGGGCTGGCCTTGCCCACTAATCACTGGAATACTCCTTGTGTGTTACAAGAAAACTCCCCGAAGAGTTTAAAAACTTTTCCTTGAACGTTTCTTGGTCTGGGGATGGAGAATATAATGTAGTGGTTGATGAGACCTGAATTTGTAAAAAGATCTACTGCTTCCTAGATGTGTGACCTTGTGCGAGTTACGTAAATAAGCGTCTTTGTTGCCCATAGTGTGGGTGTGATGATAACAGTACTTCCTCAAAGCTTTCCTGGAGAATAGAACATGGGTGCAGAGACCCCCTCGCTCTGTCAGTAAACGTGAATTATTAGGTCATAGAGAAAGTCATGATGTCTTTTTCTATGCAAAAATGCATCATGTCTTTTTGAACGACCCCATATTACTACTTCTAACATAAAGAGCAATGTTTAGGTTCACGCAAGAGACTTACCGAGTAATAGGTAATTGAGGCTGGTTGCTTTCTCAGGGTCCAAAGTAAATGAAAGACCACATCTGGTGAGCTGCTAGAGATTCGTGTCTTTAGATTGGTCTCATGCACTCAAAACTCTCCATTCTTCTCCATGTCTTCGGCAAGGGCAGGGGGAAACACAGCAGGAACCGTAGCAACACATTTAATATCACACTGGCACCCCACTGAAACCTTGACTCTCTACTTTCACAGAAGGCACTGGAAATGTCACAAATAGAAATGTCAGCACTGGAAATATCACGAATTCTGAACATTGCATGATACTACTCTGAACTGAATTTGTTCACTCGCCTGTTTGTGTACACCTCCTTCTCTTAGTCTTTGAAGTCTGCAAATGAAAGTGGACTGTGGACCAGCGGGTGGTATGTTGATGAAGGCTTACATCCTGGTTGAAGTCCCAGACCTGGTGGCTTGAAAAACACACTGAGCACATATGTGTGCATGCCCAAAATCCTGAAAGGAGAATGGAGAAGGGATTGTGGTGTGGCCACTCTCCCTGATTGTGGTGAAGGGAGTTGCTTTCTTACTTTCTCTCTCTCTCTCTCTCATCTCTCTCTTTCTAGTGAACACACAGCCCTATAACAAATTAAAAAGAAAAAAAATTAAGAGGACTGTGTAGAAAGTAGAATTGTAGTTTAGGAACAGCTGCTTCTTGGTCAAGTCATATAAGAACCTATTTTGTACACTGGACTCTCTAAGGATTCTCATACACTGATTTCAGGATTACATGTTCCTGATTCTAGGACTACCTTTGAAAAAATAGTCACCACAGATTATCAACCACAGAAGAAAACACTGCACAGAAAAGTCTAATGGGTTTCATTAATTAGACAGGAGTTACCAAAACAGACCGTGGTCAATGTCTGGACAAATATGTGATGCCATCTAGTGCCGAGTTTTTGAAATGCAGGCACCTTGTGCTCATCCAGGTCTCAATGGCCCATACAGCCCTGGAAAGGTGAGGAACATAAGAAGCCACCTCGACCAAAGCCATGCAAAGCCTGTGCTGAACACCCTTCTAGACTGGAAGGCTTTGGAGACCTCATAAAGAATAGCCTCTGATCAACCCAGGCAGATGAGCGTCCATGATAATCTTAACTGGAAGTCTTTGTTTTGAGTTTTATATGATACCATTAAAATATAGACCCTTGGGGCCACCAGGTATCATGGCGATTATGGCACTGGACTCCCACATGGACAACCATGCTTTGTTTGAATCCCAGACCTGGCAGCTTGAAAATCAAGCCGGGCATATGTGCATGCATGCCCAAAATCCTGAGAGAAGGAATTGCAGTGTGGTCATCACCCCTCGGGGGGTGATTTCTCACTTTTTCTCTCTATGTCTCTCTCCAGTGAGCACACATACCCTATGGCAAAAATCTGGGGGGAAAAAGAAAGAAATGAAAGGAAAAAAGAAAGCCTATCTCCTAAAAAGATGGACCCTTAGCTAACATATTTCTGTTCTGAGATGGGTTAAGGTGATTATTAACCTTGAATATCCTAATCTCTACCCCAAACGCTCTTTAGGAAGTGGATGTATGAGAAGATAGTAGAGGGTGAAAAGCCAAAATCAACTTTTCTTACCCACATTTTCAATGTACAGATAACGAAAAAGAATTAGCCTTCAATGCCTAACTCTGTTCTACATGGCAGGGAGATTGGTCTTATCATTGGCCTTTGAGTTAAGAAGACATTGTAGATTTTCACTCGTTTTGTTAACATTTTCAATGTACAGATAACGAAAAAGAATTAGCCTTCAATGCCTAACTCTGTTCTACATGGCAGGGAGATTGGTCTTATCATTGGCCTTTGAGTTAAGACATTGTAGATTTTCACTTGTTTTGTTATTCATTCATTTATTCAACACACACATGTCCTTGACATTGGATAAGGACAGTGAATGGGACAGCAGAGTCCTTGCTGCCATGGAACTTTGCCAATAGATCTGTTTTTGCAAAGGGTGGGTTATGAAATCATATAGTGAGTTGCAATGGGCATTGAAAAGAAACAAAATAGTACAGGACACACAGCATGGCTTAGCCCAGGTACATGACGAAATAGCATAATGTTCAACCCCAGGAAGATGGGGCCTACAGAAGGTAACAGTGAAATAGACTTACTTTTGGCACAGAGGATGGACTCAGTGTACTGGGTCATGTGTGAGGGACAGAACTCAGATGAGTGAGCAGAGGCAGGTCCAATCAGGAACAGTGATGTGACTGCCCAATGGGAGGCCTAGGGGTCAAAACAAAGTGGGTGTTTTCTTCATGGTCTTATTGATAAAAGCTACTGGTTTGCAGCAATTACTAAGAGTAAAGATGATGCAAAGGTACTCTGAATTTAGCAATTTGTATTATTAAATAAACTTATAGAAAGCCAGTTTCCCAAAACCTCTGGCTTTTCTATTTTCTCCATAAAATCTGCTTTTATTTGTTCTATTTTTTTCTACCCTTCTGTTCAAGCAAAGTATCATGACTTCGCTTTCCTTGCTGACCTTTGACTTACTTATTTTCTCTGTTCCCAGTAGAGCCTGTTCCCCAAACTGTGTGACGTTGAGGAGTCCAGCCTGGCAGGTGGTGATGTGTCTTGCACTACCTCGCATGACAACAGCTAAGGAGACCAACCATTCTCTGTATGTATGAATCAGGAAGAGCAGGAACTCAACAAGCTGTGTCACTGTTGAACAGTTAGGAAGAACATTTTAATAATGAGCTTGGAGGGCTCACCTCTTTGTTACAAAGCAGATGTTCAGTACAGGTTGTTCCATGAAGGTTTAGCAAAAGGCCATGTGACCTAATTGAAGGGCATGGGGCATTGGAGGGCACAGCCTTGTTTCTGGCTAGGTAACCTTTGGCAAGTAATTCTTTCTGTACCTCAGTTGCCTTGCCTATGAAATGAAGATTATAATTACCTTAGAGTAGTGTCGGAGACGTTAGAAATTATAATGGAAGCACTTGGAACACAGTAGACACTCTGTTATTCTGTGAAATGTCAGATTCAGTCTTTTTATTACTATTAGATGGGAATAACTACAAAGATCATGTTGTGTCCTAGACAGGAAGGCTGAGACAGAGCAAATAAAGCAAAGGGATTTATTTGGGACCAGGTTAGGACAACCACCCAGGTACCACAAAATCCTTGTTGCCTTAAATACTGAGTGCTGAGGTTTTATAGATTTCAGGATCTTTTTTTTTAATTTATTTATTCATTCATTTTAATTTGACCAGAGAGAGAGCCACCGAGAGAGAGAGAAAGTGAGAAAGGAAGCCACCAGGTCCAAGACTCAAACCATGATCGGCCAGGTGGGAGTGTCCAGCGCTTTAACCACCATGCCACCTGCTGGTTCCCGTCAGGATCTTTTTAAAGACAAATATCATAGATTAGAGGTGGGGAGAGGGTAGTAAGGAGTACCGCATGGATTGAGTAAATTATTATTTTTTTGATTTCCAAGTTTTTTAGTAGTTTTATTTAAATTTACTTGTTTTTCTTCTTCTTTTTTACATTTAGTCATTGTACAGCTTTACAATATACAACATGAATTTTCTCAGCGTGAATACGTGACATATTAGTCCAGTCAAAGATATTATCATCCTCATCATCAACAGATAATTTTCCATTTTTTTTTGTGGGGGAGATGGCTTTCAAGATGTTTATTCTTTTGTAATTGACTAAATTCTATGATAAAAGGAGCAAGATGACATCGTGGTCACCTGGAGTCACTTTGCTTAGTCTCAGCAGAGTGTGAAGACAGTCCGACACACTGTTGTAACGGAAATGCTTTGAAGATTATGATTAATAGATGTGACTGATGGGAGGTACAGGAGGAATGTCTTTGGGCAATAAAGATGCTCATAAAATAATAAAGGTCAACGAGTCTAAGTAGCATCTTGAGCTAATTTAGGTGGATGTTCCTTCGAAAGCCTCAAGATGTGCATACATTTTATTTCTTTATAGTGCTGACGCAAATAGATTGCAATCTTCCAGTTTTAGGAAATTTCTTGGTTAAACCAAACCATGTTGAGTCTACCAGCTTCCTTAAGTTTCAGGTTGTTGATGCGATATTTGAGTGACTCCATTTTGGTCTTGTTTGTCAGAGCCTAGAGAAGGAGCTTAATCCAAAACGATGCCCTCCTATAATTGTTATCTATTGTGGTTAAACTAAGCTTTCACAAGGTGCAGATTTTAAACAGGAAAACTGTGAGTTGAGTATCTGAGCAGGGTCACAGCTAGTTAGTAATCCCGGTTGGCTACAACACTCTCACTTCAAAGCTATTTTATTCCTAATAATAACAACAACCCAACAACATTTCTGGAAGTCTTACTATGTGCTGGCCACAGGCCTGTATGCTTTGAGCCTCACAACAAGGTTCAGAAGTTGGGCTTAGTCTATGGTTGGATGCACAGACGCGTGGGACAAGCGCCCAGGCTCCCTCAACCAGGAAGAACAAGCGGGGATGGAACTCAGGCAGCCTGACTCCAGCCCACTCTGCACTGCACCTGGTTGAGAGCAGTGTATTTGGAAGCTCGAGGAGTGGAAAAAGGTGTTCCTTTGTGAGAAATGACCATCAAATGTGAGACAACTTAAAAGTTTAAATGATAGCTAACTGGTAGTACGAGGATCTGCAAAGAAACCTTGACCCTCAAAGAAATGTGATGCATGAGAGAGCTCATTTTCCCCAGTTGTTTCTGTGGTCATCAGTTGGGTGATCTGCAGGTCCTAAGGTCTATAGAATTATTATTAAGGAAAGATTGTACTTAAATTCAGTGCTGCTTTGCACGGGGCTTCCTGTCACAGCCAAGCAAGAGTTTAAGCTTGTCACGGTTGTGTTTCAAAAAGCTCAGTACTTGCTGTATGAATGAGAGCCTCCTAGAGGGTGTATTCAAGGTTTGCTGACGGCTCAGCCGCTGTAGTGATGCACCGTGGTCCTAACTAATTGGGAGGCTGGGCAGGTAGATGGTGCTGGGGCAAGACCTTGTCAAAAATAGCTGTCTTTTTTCTCTCTTTCTCTCATGCTGTCTTGAGTGAGTGTGCACTCTACTTCTCTCACTTAAAAAAAAAATGCTGTAAAGACAATCTTTTTTTTTTTTTTTTAATAAAACAGGAAACTTTGGAGTTCAGCCCTTCCGTTCTGGCAGCCTCCTCTTCTCAGAAAGTTCCTCCAGATACACGTATCATTGGGAATCTCCTGTTTCTAAAAAGGGCGTCTGCATTTCCTGATTTCATGTTTCTGGTTTTGAAGGGGTGATTCTGCATGACTCCCAGACTTGCCCTTCTAATGATACAAGCTAATAGTGTAATTTGTATTGCTATTTAGTGCTTTCTAAGGGGCAGAGGTGGGTTATCCTCTCTATTTAACATGGAAGAAAACCAAAGCATGGAGTTCTAAACGTGTCCTGGGACATCAACCAGAAAGTGGCAGGCTGAGAGTTGAACCCGGGTAGCGTGCCTCCAGAATCCACACTCCTAGCAACTGGTTTTGCAACCCATTCTAAGCAGACACTGAGCCTGATCTGGGGCACAGGTCATCACCTGTCAACATGAGCTGATGAACACGGTGTGAGTGGCATAGTGGAGAATGAGTAAGTCGCCATTCCTGCCCATCAGCACAGCAACACCTTATTGAGCACTCACTCACCAAGTGCCAGGCTTTTACCTCCTCACAACGATCACATGGAGCGGTGGGTGTTCTCATCCCCATTTTTCAGATGGTGACTGAAACTAGTAGAGGTTAGGCAACTGGCCGGTGGTCACGCAGCTGGTAGGAGTGAATGCAGGTCACATGCCCAGCTGTCATTGATGACCAATGTCAGATTCTTTCTGCTGTGGTGTGCCTATTAATTTACAGGCGACAACAAATGTGGACACACCTAGACTTACCTGGTTGTTTCCTCTTCAACCTTCAAGGACTGTTGGAATAAACTTCTAAGCAGTCAGTTGAAAACATAGAATTTCTGTCTAGAAAACAAAGTTTTCTGTCCAGTATTTATATCTTCCATACCCTGAAATTGTTGGGGTCTGTCTACTTTTTCCAGACTGGTTAAGCAGAGTATCTAGGCCAAGCTGGTTTGAAATATTTCTTACCCACTTTGGGTGGTAAGCTTGCTCCAATGGATTTGTTGTGTTCAGGTTCTTCACATTAAACATTGTTTATATATAAATTATACACACACACACACACACACACACACACACATGCTAGAGGGTGTGTGTTCACTAGAGAGAGGAAGAAAGCACCCCTCAATGGAATGTGACCACATCTTTTTCCTCCATTATTCCTTTCCATCAGGATTTTTTTTTTAATTTGCTATAGGGTGTATGCATTTGTGAGAGAGAGACAAAAAAGAGATAAAGAGGGAGAAAGTGAGAAATCACCTGGCGTTGAGGAATGGCCACAATCCCATCTCCTCCATCCACCTCTCAGGACTTTGAGCATACAGGACTTCCTAGCATGCTCCTAGGATTATTTTCAAGCCACTGAGTCTGGGATAGAAATGAGCAGTCAGCCATGTTGGATTCAGTCGTCTTAACTTCCGTGCCACTGCTGGCCCACTATCAAAATTTTGGGCATGGGAACCAGCAGTTAGCATAATGGCTATGTCGCTGGACTCCCACATAGTCGACCACGGTTTGCGTCCTGGACCTTGTGGCTTAAAACTCACGCCGGGCGCGTGTGCGTGCATGTCCAGGATCCCAAGAGGAGAATGGAGGAGAAGGAATTGTGGTGTGTCCATCCCCCCTAGGGGGTGATTTCTCGCTTTCTGTCTCTCTCTGTCTGTCTCGTAAGCACATGTGCCCTATACAAAAACCTCTAAAAAAATTTGGGGGGGAGCATGTGTGTACATTTGCTGAGTGTGTTTTTCAAGAAAGCCACCAGGGCTGGGGTTCAAACCATAGTTGGCTATGTAGCATCAGGCTCCCTTCACACAGTGCTTAGCTACTGTGCTATGGGGCTAGCCCAGTCCTTGGTATCTCTTGCTGGTCTGCTTTCTCATTGCCGGACAGTGTAGATGACACAGAGCTGAAAACTCTATTGAGCTTCCAGGTCAAGATGCAGAGAAAGGACAGCTTCAGGCTAGGGAAACTTTGACCAGGTAGCTCACACAAAGGGGCAAAGAAAGCAAACACAAAATGAAATTTAAATTCTTATCATTATAAAAAGTCAGGCAGAACAGAATGCAGGAAATAGAAGTAGGCTTTCCTCCTTTGACCTCAGTTATTCTTCCGGAAAGACAGGGCTATCCACAGTGCCCTGGGTGAGCTTCCAGAAATTCAAATAGATTTTAAAGCTGAATATTGTAATGGACATCACATTTCGTAGGGGCATGTTTGGAGAAAGGCCCTTAGGATGTAGAGACATGTTCTAAGCAAACATTACCTGTCGCTTTAAGCTATAACAAAACCTTACAGCTTGTCCTTTCCTTAACCTTTACTGCAGGCAGAGGAAAGGGTAACATTTTCCAGGGGCCCTTCACAAATACATCTAACAAAATTCAGAAAACATCCTAACCCCAATTAACAAAGTCCAACCCCTACTCTGCCTCTGTGAGATCCTATAGCCTTATCAACACCCCTCCCCACACCTACAGCTAAGCTTCTCTTCACTGAGTAAAAGGTTTATTAAAATTTCTCTTTAATATGAATGTAACCAAGAGATACGCCTAGCCCAATATGTCTAAACCCTTATAAATTTGTTACCTGTTTCCTATTGTCTATAACACATGAACTTATCTCTAACATGTCATGAAATACATATATGTAGTGTTGCTTTGCCCTGTAAATTAAGGTGCTCAGTGTGCCTGGGCAACACCGGTTGCTCAGACTACGTGGGCTCGCACTGCCTATGTCCACCACTCCTCTGTTTCTTGGTCTCTTTCTTTCTACTTCCTCATAAATCAAGCTAAGTCTTGGGCAAACGCCAACACCATTTCTTTGGTTTAGGAGAAAATTTCTTTATACAAAAGAATATAAAAATCTCCCTTCTGTCAAGGACTGAGAACTATTGTTCCAATGGACTCTTTACAAAGAAGTTTGCTTTTTCATTTGCTTTGTAATCTGCATTACCCGCACCTCCTTTAGTTCTTATTTTGATTTCTTTTTTTTAAATTGATTATCAAAAGGTATGTACACGATCACACAGAGACAGGGTAGAAGGAGAGGGAGAGGGGGAAAGCACCCCTTCAATTGGGCACGTTCATGCTGCAATGCCTCCTTCATTTTTCCATCCTGTTGGAATTTGGGGAACATACAAACATGCCCAGCATGCTTTGCAGGCCACTAGGACCAAGCTTTAAACCATAGTTGGCCATGTGGGGTCTGGCTCCTTTAACCAGTAGGCTCTGGGGCCAGCCTAACTTTAATTTCTTTATTTCTTCCTTTCTTTCCATTTCTTCCTTCCTTCCTTTCTTTCTTTTCCTCTTTTTCTTTCATTTTTTTTTCTTTTTTTCTTTTTTCTTTTTTTGCTATAGGGTATGTGCATTCACCAGAGAGAGACAAAGAGAAAGCAAGAAATCCTCTTCGGGGGGATGGCCATGCTGCAGTGCCTTCTCTTTCACTCTCCTCTCAGGATTTTGGGAACACACACACACACACACACACACACACACACACACATCAAGCATGATTCTCAAACTGCCAGGTCCAAGACTCGAACTGCAAAGCTGGCTATGTGAGATGCAGCACCTTAACGTCAATCCCACCTGCTGACCTGCAACTTTTATATTTTTGATATTGAATTTGTTCTGCATTTTTTTTGTGTGTGTGAGCATGGTAAGAGCATCCAGAGATCCACCTTGAGTGCCATTTGGATGAAAGGGGAACGAAGTCCAAAGAGCTCTACGGAAGAGCAACCTTATCTGAGC